CTTTCTCTGTTTGTCTTCATCGCCCATTTTTGGTGAGTTTTTTGTAACTTTCTCTTACCGAATACCAAAATCGTTTTCGGGCGGAGTCGAACATTAAGTACCCGGCGCAAGTATTCAATATAGTGTTTTCACCTTTTCGAAAACTACTGATAGGGGTGGTTTTACCACTATTTCAAACATCTTCGATAGAACGTTTAGTTAGACATCATGAGATAAACTTATATAAATAGTTATATTGGGCGGTATAACGGCCGTTTTCCAAAATTCCATATTAATCTTCTTATCTTTTCAAGGGATTGTTGCTTGAGTAAATTAGCGTACTTTAAAAATCAATGCGATTTTCTAGCGTTTTGAAATTTGGGTATAAAACTGCATACCAGGGTTTGAAAATGCTGTAATTTTTTCATTTGATTTACTTTTGCTGTGCTTTGACTTCGGCATGTATGATATCGAAAGCAAAGCAACAGCAATTCGGAAAAAAGCAAATGCTTTGGCTGTCGTTTTGCTGTAAAATTTCGAAAGCAACCAGACAGTTAAAAAACAATATGTGAAAGCACAACGACAGCGCAGCGGCAGCCAAGCAACAGCAATTCGACTACCACTTGACCGTGAAACATCAAATTGGCAGAAATATGTATGCATGCACAAATGCACTACAATTTAGTTGTACTGGTGACAAGAGGCGACCATAAGCTAACTACGACGATGCATTACCGATTGTTAGGCAATTCGCTAGCGATTGGTAATCGCCAATTTCACACCAGATAATCGCTAGCGAAAGGTCAAGGCAAAGGAATTGATACTGCAAATTTTGTGTGTACTCACTCCTGGCGAGTCAGCGATAATACACCATGCTGCAAAGCTTCATGTGCACAGGACATTCAAGCAAATCACAGCACAAGAAAAGTGCTATCACAGCAAATCAAAAGCAGAAAATTCAATTTACTAAATTGTTTTCAATAAACTGCCGACAAAAAAGCAAAATAAAATTTTCAAAGTCACAGCGAAAGCAAATCAGTTTGAATGAAAATCAAAAATTTCAAAGCGAAGTAAAAGCAAAAATAGTAGTGCTGTTGCTGCTGTGCTGACAGTTTTTCAAACCCTGCTGCATACCAAAAATTTTTCAAAAAAATCTGATTAAAAAGTTTGAAATATTTGGGGGATTTTGGTAAAATTTTTTGAATACTTATAATTTTTGTACAAAATTTGAAATGGAGATTTATGCCGTGCGTGTTATATAAGGCGCTAGACTTTTATAAGAAAATATTAAACATCGAATAAACAAAAGTAATATAGCCAAAACTGGGCAAAATAAAAAAGTTTCTATTATTTCTTCCACCACTGTGCATAAAGTCACCGTAATTGTACGAGTGTTCAAATTTTTTCGCATTGTTAATAGTTTTTTGTGTATATTTGAAAAATTTCTGGCAACAATCATTATTATTTTTACTTATCAATATTTAAGTACCTACATAGAATAAATATGCATGTCGGCTTAATTGTTAGTAACACTTTTATCTTATCGGCCCATTTGCGCATTTGTTTTTGATAGCGGATAACACAAATGAACACGGGTAAGATAGCGGGGCAATTTGTTATACTAATTTCAGTATCGCAATAAAATCGATAAGGTAATGGAGAGGGGTAAAATAATATTTACTTTGGTCAAATAAATTGAACAGTAGATTTCCGTGAAATTTTTCCATAACTTTATTTTTTCTAGTTAAATAAATAAATAAGCTTGAGTAAATTGCCTGTAAACAAGTTTTGAAAAAAAAAATAAATATATAAATAAACAACGTAAATATGTACTTCAAAATGCTGCAATAAAAATTAAAACTAGAATATTTAAATTCTATCCAAACCTTATGCAAAATTAATGATAATTCTGCAAATTTTCATCAAAATATGTATTACATTTCTTAATTACACTCTTTAGAAAAAAAAACTGAGTATGCAATTTTTGAGCCCATAAAATTTTAGTATAATAATGTGCAAGTCTGCGGTATGTAGGACTTACCAATGACTTTTGACAATTTGTTTGTTGAAGGTGTCGCTCATTTTTTTATATGGAGAAATGTAAATTGATGAAAATTTGCAGAATTTTCTTAAATTTTGCACAAGGTTTGCAGCTCGGATTTTTGGGGTCTTAGTCATGGAATTAACCATATTTTTATAAAAGAAAAATAAACAAAAAGTTGCCCGTATTGCAAGATAATCGCTGTACCTAAACTTTGTTGATTGACTGTATCCTCCAAAATCTGAGTAATATCGGACTTTCCATCATCAACCTTGACCAATTGGTCTAGAGGACAGTTATTGGCCTAGCAAATGAATACAATAAAAAGTGTTGTGACTGTCGTTAACAAAGTTGATAATTGGTGCTAATTTTATCACAATTAACTTGAGTTCACAGCAACACAAAAAATACTCATTTGTACGTAATGAGAGACTTATCGACTTTTTTTATATAATTAAGTTCAGAGGCACTGCTATTTAGGAAAAAAGCATGTAATGAATATGAAAATATGAGATCTTTTGATGAAAATGTACATATGTACGTAGCTACTTGGTGGCAGGTATCCGTTCATCCTTATTGGCTGCAGTGCCATGCGGCAGAGAGTTCTGGACATTGGCCACTGGGGCGTCATGAATGTTCTTACAGTAATTTTCTATGGTCTTGCAACTCCGTAAGTCGCTTAATTTCCTAATACAATTAAATATTGGGCGTTTTTCTTATCCGACAGCATTTTAAGCTCTTCGCACTCACTTATTTCGGTCTCTCTGTTTATAATGGTATATCGCAGCGTGGCTTTGTTGGATGGAGGAAATCATCAAGCCTGATTTTGATATCGTTACAGGGCAGCGCTCGTAGCTACATACTTTCCAAGCGCTCATAAAAGAGATCTTCTATATACATGAGAAGCTAAATTTTTAAAAATATCGATAACGTCTATGGCGATAATTTTATTGATATCAATATAAAACGATATCTTCGTCAAATATATCGACGATTATTTTATTAAATATATCCATAATTATATCGATAACACTTTCGATAATTTTACCGCACAAAAATATCGATATCATGACTGGAATTTTAGAAAGATCTTATGGTTATCAAAATGAAAAATAAATGAATTCACTAGCTTTAATAAAAAAATATTCTGTTCGGGCATACTTGGTTGTGAAAATTTGTCATTTGACAGAAGTTACGCTTTCACGATGCTGTTATTTTCGACATACTCGTATCAGTAATATTTATTATTGCCTAATATCTAGCACTAGTAAATCAATAAATCGTAAATGATGAAGGAAAACAACGATAAAAACCTCACCACACCACAAAATTAGAATCATACAGGCACAGGAAGGTAGCAAAGACCTGAAAGCAATGGAAAGTATAAGTGCAAGTATGCGCCTACCCTGGCGGCAGAAATAATAGGCTCGTCGTACTTTTAAGAATTTTGGCTATATTCCTTTAGGTTATTTTATATTTAATATTTTCTTTTTTTTTATAAAATCGTGGCTAGTTATACAACAAACATCTTATAAATCCGCTTTTCAAACTTTGAACAAAAATTTTCAAACTTTTTATTCAGAATTTTTAGAAAAATTTTTCGTATGCAGTTTTGTAGCCCATTCAATTTTGGTATAATAAAGTGCAAGTTTCAATTGGCTACAAAAGAATTTTTTTACTGACGATGTCACGCATTTTTTCCCGTACAAAGTGTGCTCGACTATTTTTTTATATGGAAGAGAATCCCTAGCATCAACAAAAAAAAATTGTCAAAAATTAACGGTATTTTCTAGCCACTTGAAACTTGCACTTTATTATATTTCATTTTCTAAAAATTCTGAATAAAAAGTTTGAAAGTTTTTGTTCAAAGTTTAAAAAGCGGATTTATATGATGTTTGTTGTATAACTAGCCACGATTATATAAAAAAAAATACTAAACATAAAATAACCTGAAGAAATATATTGCCAAAGTAAATAGAATAAAAAGTTTAGAAATTTGTTGAAAAATTTCTCGAATTCTTATAATTTTTGTATTAAGTTTGAAAAGGGGATTTATATGGTGTTTGTTGTATAACTTTCCAGGCTTTTATAAAAAAATATTAAACATAAAATAAAGCACGGAAATCTAGCCAAAACTCTTCAAAGTAAGGCGAGTCTATTATTTCTGCCGCCAGTGTACATTACTTCTTCTTTGATACTCGTATCAGGCGCAATCAGCATTTTCAATCTACTTACATACATACGTACATATGTAAATAGTTTATTCGTACATATTTACAAGTGCTATTTTTATTTTAATAAAAAAGGGTCTAACTGAAAACAAACACAAAGGGAAAGGCGATAGATGTGTACATACATACATATATACATTAGAGTGCATCACAAAAAAAAAAATAAATATTTTAAGACTTCCGGAGAAATATTTCTAAAAAATATTAAGGTTTACGTGAGCTAGAATGATTTGAAAATATGTTCCTCCAAAAATCTCATTATTTTAATTCCGTTGATACAATTTTAAAATATTTTTAAGCAGACCTTTTAAGGTTAAACTCTTCTATCCTCTAAGGTTATTTTATAGAATTATTTTCAAAAACTAATTATATGTATTTATATCAAACTCGAATTTTGAGGTGTTTTCAAATTTGTCCAGCTCAGGTAAATCTTAATATTTTTCCGAAAAACAGTATCTACCATATTTATATTTTTTTGTATGGAGAGTGATACACCCTAACGTACATATATACAAACAAATAAGGGAATACTCAATAAAGCATACACAGGAAAAGGCGGCGTATTGCAATCGCAGCAAAAATTGAGCCACACTAAGCGAGCGTGTTTATATTGCTTTGACTAGTAGAGCTGATAGCGGTATATAAGTATTTTTTTTTTTATTTCATTTTGTTTAATTTTTGTACATTTTATTTTTCTTTTTTATGTTTCCATGCCTCAGGTGTTGTTAGCAACTTTCCTGAGCAGCAAACGAATATTCGTATTTTGAACGTTGAAGCGCTCGCAGCTTTCGTGCGGAGTATTTTGCAATCCAACTAAAAAACGAACGGTTTAAAGTTAAAGACATAAAACAAGTATTTAATCGCATTTTTCAAGTCGATATTATTACAAAATATCTAAAATAAAGAAAATAAAGACTATTTATAAAAATAAATTCTACGGCAAAGCGCTGTGGCGTTGCTGTAACGCCATGTGCAGCTTAGTGTGACGGCGACCCAGTCGTTTATGGGACGAACGATAAAAGAAAATTAATTACAATTCGCAAGATTTGTGCAATAATTGTGATAGGTGAGCTCGTCGCGCGCCGCATCTAAATACATATCTGGCTGAGTATTGTACATATAGCGTTGGATATAAAATCAAATTTGTAATTCTAATGACGCTTAATTGCTAATTCATTGACTTGAGCGTTTTACAAGGAAGAAATAATAAAATTTTGCTCACCGCTCGAGTCAGTTAGTTCGTTGGTCAAAGTCATTGCGCTGACAAAGCGAGTGCAGAAATTTGAATTCAAAACCGTACAGTAACTCAGTGTTTGCGCCTTAATTAACAGTTAATTGAATAACAAACTTAAGTGACTTTATTTTATTCTATTTTTTTTTACAAAATCTAGAAAATTACATCAGCGCTGCAGTATTACATAAAAAATAATAAGACTAGTGGGTTAAGTGTAGAGCGCCATTTTACATGCATATATCTACATATACATAATTACATATGTATGTATTAGTACAAAAATATAAATAAATTTTGTACAGCAATTAGAAATACATATTAGATAAAAAAAAAAAAAAATAGTGAACACAACTGTGCCAGTGTTAATAATAAAGTGCACAACGACAAAATGTTGAAAATATTCAAGAGCAAGAAAGACAAGTTACCGAAATCGGAAATCATCACCTGTGAGCCGCAGGTGACCAAAGAGCCGCGTACAAAATGCGGTAAACCGCTAGTATTGGACAACACACGATGGGAGGCAAGTATTGATAGATACTAAGAGTGTATGTATGTATGTATGTATTTCTACAACAATTATTTCTACATATCTACTATAACGGCCCGTCTACACAGGCAAAAGTTTTTGCGTACCAGCTGTCATTTTTATTACCAGATATAAATTTTATCAGAGACAATATTTGTGCGTGGGCATTTTTTATCTTGATAAAAGCATTTGTAAGATGGATATTTTTACCGAATTGAGTTACTTAAAAAATTTGCTATTTCACATTCAAGCACATAATAACAAATATTTTAATAGAAAACAGCTCAATTTTTGCTTTTTTATTAAAATATCAATAATGTTGCCGCCACGAAGTTATCGCGCAAATGAAAATGTAGCTGTCGAAAGTACCAAATTGCTGTCAATGTTTATCAAGATAAAAGCTCTGATAATTATTGCTTGCCAAAGTATTGCCTGATAACTTTAACATGATAAAAACTTTTGCCTGTGGAGACAGCAAGTAACTAAAGATATTGAAATGAAACAAAGAAAATATCTTAAAGTGGGTTTAAATAATGTTTTCCATAGGAGTACTAGTATGTATTAATTAATTCAGGTTGCAGATACTAAAAACGAAGAAAATAAGAATGGTCTTTTTAAAAAATTTAAATGAAATGGACATTCTAAACTCCCAAATCAACCCCGAAATTGAAGTAGTTTGTTTTTGCTCTATGTAGTCCCAAAGGCCCATGTAGTCCCAAGTCGAGAGATCTTCTGCCTTCTTCTCTACATCTTTCTATTTTGTATGGAGTGGCACAAATTAAGGCCATAGAAGGGCTTCCAGAAAGGTTTTTTGTAGAACGTACCTACTTCAGAAGGCCTTTTGGAGGAGTAATTGTAATGCTGCTTCTTTAATTCATTGATTCTTCAAATTATGCATAGGAATATTTTCTTTATAAAATTTTCATCGTAAATGTCTTAAATTTAAGTGTGAGGTTTCATTTTACCTTACCACCACTTTTCTAAAAAAAAAATAGCGTGGAATTTTGTAAATTAATAAATTATAGTTCACACTATAATACAAATTATATAAATAAAAGTAAAAAAAAAAATAATTCAATCAATTCGTGGCCCAAATTTCTCGGTGATTTTTCGAAATTTTTTCTCGGCGGTCTTGTGTACTTTTTCCATGTAACACATGCTTTTTATATTACAAAGTATCTCGAATTTTTTTTTTGTATGGAGAAAATTAACACCATCCAAAATCATCAAAACGCGTATTCTTAGCCACTATAATTTTACACTTTCTCGAGCTAGAATTTGATGGGCTATAAAACTGCATACTTAGATTTTTTTCAAAAAATTCTTAGTTAAGAGTTTGTTGTTGTAAAATTGTGTTAATATTTTTTTAATTTTTATGCTCAGCTTGAAATTTGGACTTATAATGTTTTTGTTAGATAGTGAGTTGTATTTTTATAAAAAAAAAATAGTAAACATTAAACATTAAACAAACAAAAAAATAGCCAGGTCAAATGCCCTGTCCTTATTATTTTTCACATGATTGTTAAAACAAAATTAATTTTTTTTTTAATTTACAAAGTTTTGTCTCATTTTTTAAGTGGTGGTAAGATTTGCGTGGTCACAAGTATACGTAGGTATTGCTTATTTATGCTTATGGTTCTAGTCTATATCAGTGACAAATTCTTGATAGTGTTTTTTTTCACGGAAAATATTATTATATATTCAAAAGTTTAAATTTGTCAGTTACAAAAGTTTTGTCATCGATACATAATTGGGTAGTATTAGTTTGTGCCGACAATGTACAAACACTCGCTCTCACTTGATTAAGGCCAAATATTTTCCTTTTGTTTTTGTAAAATTTTTTGTCAAATTTATTTTCAGAGTCGTAAAAAAATTAATTTTGGCATTTGCGGCTTCAGAAGTTCGTCCTTTAAAATTTTTTCCATAGTTATCAACATCGCGAAGATAATTGTTGACAACCGTTTTACTCCTGTCGTCCTGACCGTCATCGAAGAACAACAACTATCTGTACAACAACAACTGCTATACTTTCGCGTAATTCCTCACCGATTTTTGTAGCAGGATAAATTCCTATGTAGCCAGAATAAGAAGACGTCCGGAACGTCACGAATCCATCCTCCAAATGCTCACTCAAACCAACTTTACCGATGTCGAAACTGTTCGTTTCCTTGGTCTAAGATTGGCAAAAACACTCAAGTGGAATCATGGACTTAGGCAAGGTTTACTTAGGGCTGGTTTCTCTAACTCAACTTAACTTAGTTTCGCCATTTTTTGGACTTAAGTCAAAAGTTGGCCTACTTTTTACACAGCTTATTCTTGACTAAGCCAAAAAAATTGGCTAAACTAGGTTAAGTTGAGTTGGAGAAACCAACCCATAGTATTCTTCATATGTATGGCTTATCAAAACATAGCAAAAACTACTTTCAAGTTTTTCAATGATTAACGGGTTTAGAAGTTGTTTTCTTTGCCCCTGCACGTTGAATCACCGCGCTTATATCGGAAACGAAAACTGATTTTCAAAGCTGATGCCGTTATACGTAATCCTGCTGAAATCATCATACTGCATTTGTTCAATTTAATACTGCTTTAACAACTCTTTGCTCCAAACCTATCAGAAGTTTGGTGAGCTGTCGAGTCCATAGTAGTCATAAAACGTTCTCACAAATCGGCGGTAAACTGTCACTAGCAGTTTGGTATTTTTTTAACGAGGTAAAGAAGATCATTTGACATTGTTTGTGTGTTTGTTTTATGGCATTTTTTCTGGCGAAAAGTACTTGAACTACTTAAAAAAACACACAGAAAAAGTATGCAGCGCCAGTAAAATACCGTCAAACACAATATCAAACGGGCTGGAAACACTCATAGTCACAATAATTCCGCATTCTTAAGGAGTATAGCGCACCAAATATCGCAAATGAATCGACATTCGACGCCATTTTCAAAAGTTATTTATTCTTCCAGGAGATTCATTTAACCATATATATACGCCATCTTGTTTAAAGCAAAATTTTCAATGAGTGATTTGTCTGAAAATGAAAAGCATTAAATCAGTAAAAATTACCTTCAATTCAAGCACACCCAAAAAAGTGCAATACTAATACGACTTACGTCAAGCTAATGAAAGCTTCCGAGGTCATCTTACTTAAGACGCACGCACACCAAAAATGTGATAGGGGTACAGCCTTAAAGTTGTTAAAGGTGAATTCTTAAACGAGTTCATTAATATATTAAAGTTTATTAAAGTAAAGGGTAAAGTCAAAAAATGTCCGGAGCGCTCTTTTTAGAGAATAACTGATACAAGGGACTTTCCAAAATTCAAAAGAACTTATGCAAAAAATAAAAAATAAAATATTTATAACTTTCAATAAAATCAAAATATTACTCCATTAGTTAACTTCCGGAAGCATTGCATTTACATAGAAATAAACTATTCAATCGAAAATTACACAACGATTGAAATAGTAATCAATTGTATGTAATTTACAACTTTCAGTTTTTACGCGTAACTAATTACATATTATTTTACACAATTTCCATTGTTGGAGTTCCATAAAATTTTGAATTGAACTTAAAAGCAACTCATGCAATGCCGTCATTAATAATAGTTGCAGCGTACAGCAGTATTGTTGCATTATCATATTTTTGTTTATCTAGTATTTTTTATGACGCGCTAGAATTTTTTTGACGAGTTGTATTAGTCATACACATGTATGTTTAGTAATAATGCAAAAACAATTGTTTTATAGTAGACTTCTTGGGGATCTCTTGACCCCTTTATAGAAATTTAAAAATTCCTACTTAAAACTAGCAAATACCGTGCGTGCTTCGCCTTAAAAGTATTTTTGTGCTGTTTGATACTCGTATTGTAACATTTCATTTATTTTATGAATTTATTTTAATTAAATTTTTCAAACAGGTGGCAACCCTCCTCAAACGTATTCCCGACAGTAAACTTGCTTAAACCTCTTCAGTTGGATACCCATATTGTAATATTCAATTTACCTTAATTAAATTAAAATTTTCAAACAGGTGGCAACTTTGAACAGAAGTATTTTTGGCAGCGAGGCTTTTTAAATGTCTTTCTTTTGACAGCCATATTGCAATATTTACTTCATTTGGTCAATTTACTTAAACTGCAATTTTCAAATAGGAGGCAACTCTCTAACAATTTTCTTTCTATATTTTAAGTTAGACCTCTAGCAATACACAGGTGAAAACTGCATTCAACTTCATGCATTAGCTTTCCAGTGATGCGGGTACAAACATACCGACAGACAGACATACAAAAATTCTAAAAAGTTTTATGCCGGTTTTCAAGAGAAATTTTTTCATTGCAGAGATACACTCGGAGGTTTTCCATTGTCTGTCGAGGATCAACCGCTATTAGGAGCATTTAGCTCCTTCAAGTGTCAAACTGTGATTGCCAAATAACTTAATACTTCGATTTTTGTTATCTTATCATTTATTTGCTGACAATAATAACGTTTTCTAATTAATCACACAGCAAATATGAGTTTTTGTGCAAACAATAATACTCAAAAACAACTCAGCACCTCAGCATTTTTACCACTTTTGACAATTTTTTTTTGTCTTTTTTTTAATGCGCAGCAGTTTTTTATAAAAGATACACATAAATCCGAATTTCATCTAAATTCTAAGTTTTTAAATTCTTGAAAAAAATATAATGCAGTTTTATAGCCTTTTAAGTATTTTTTATAAGGAAGAATCAACTCGATTTTTTAACAACTTCAAACTTGCACTTTATTATACTAAAATTTAATAAGCTTGGAATTTTGATGATTTTTTATGATTTTTGTACCAAATTTGCGATTTGATTTTATATGGTTTTTATTACATAATGAGCTATACCTTTATAAAAGATTAATGAACATTCAGCAAACAAAAGTAAAATAGTCAAAAGTTGGAAAATATGGTGAGCTGCTATCATTTTGCCGCATACTGTATGTGCACCTACTCTCACATTGTATTTATGTACATTCTTGAAACAAATGTTTTTTTCAAATTCAATTTTATCCGCTGAGAAAGTAAACTTCGTAAATAAATACCGCTTACACACTGGTGTACTTTATTTTTCAGCAAAATTTTATCTTATCAAAAGTAAGCTCTATACAACCCTATTGACGTACATACTTGCGGAAAATGCGAATCATTTCCATTTAAATACATACACATGCAAATATACATATATGTGTATATTCGGCTTATTAACTTCTGAAGTCTACATTAACCATTAGATTTTTACACTTCCTGCTAGGCTGTAGAAATAAGTTTTATTTGGACTGTAACGCTATGTGAGAGTTTTAGATAAAAATGTGGTCTGTCTTATGGCATATAGTCAATTCCCACGTGATTGCTAATTTTACCTAAAAAAAAATCTTTGATTAGCGAATTCGATGCTACCTACCATTCAGTTTTCTTTTGCAGAAAGCTCACAAAAATTAATTCATAAGCAATTTTAATTTATTTTTATTATAATTAATATGTAAGTGGATGTGTCAAAGATATTTTGACGATCTTTAAAATCTAACGAATTTAAGCTTCTACCTACAAAGAATTTTAATTATTAACCGCCCCAAGCCTTTCAACCAACAATAAGCCTAAACCATCATTATCGGTCGTTTAGCTGAAGGCCAAAAAGTGCAAGCACTTTTGTTGAATGTATGTGCACGTACACTGATAATAAAATCGAAATAGTATTCGCAATAGAAATTTGCAATTTATGCCTTTATAAACACTGATCAACGTGACTTTATTGCTGTAGCAATTCTTTTAATAATTTGCCCATCTATTGCTCTTTCTCATTACAGAGAAGACTGCATAAAGAGTTGATGTCGCTGATAAAGGAACCGCCACCGGGTGTTACCGTTGATACCGATAGTATAGGACAAAATTTATCAGAGTGAGTTGCAATTAAACAAATTAACTACTATATGTTATTTGTGCTTTATTGCAAAACTAAATCATAAATATAATATTTCTTCTGTTTTTTAGATGGAAAATAAATATTGCCGGTTTCGAGGGTACTCTGTATGAGGGCGAAAACTTTCAGCTGCTTTTCAAGTTCAACAATAAATATCCCTTCGATTCGCCAGAGGTAAAGTGCCTACATATAAATACTCGTGCGTTTGTTTGTATGCTATTTAAACTGTTTTTTTTGCTATTTCAGGTGACGTTTATTGGCAATAATATACCCGTGCATCCGCACGTCTACTCCAATGGACATATCTGCCTTTCTATATTGACAGAGGATTGGTCGCCAGCGCTATCAGTACAATCTGTCTGTCTGAGCATAGCATCGATGCTAAGTAGTTGTCGCGAAAAGAAACGTCCACCAGACAATACACTCTATGTGAAAACCTGTAATAAAAATCCGAAAAAGACTAAATGGTGGTATCATGGTGAGTTTGAAATACGTAATTTATTTGACGGAAAACATAAATGTAACATCAAACAACTTATGTATGTAGCAAAGTTAAGACCCACAGACCGCCTTCAATTCATTCCATTTCGTGGGGTAAATTTTAAGCTGAGTAATATTTAGTGGGTTATTCTGAAAATTTTCCCAAAATCATGTCGATCTTTTGGTTAATCAGGACAGCTCCTCCAATTTTGCTGTATCAAAAAAAAAACATTATCCTAGGGCTCTGGAGTGCATTATTTGCACTGAAATAAATTCACAAGAAAGTTCTGAATGGCTTCTGTCTTCTTTTCATGACTAAAACTTCAACAGAAATTTTCATGGTAAACTCCTAACTGGATGAGCGTATGACATAGGCTTCAATGTATTCCTGACATTCAAGAAGTGGATTCATCATTTATAGGCTCATCAAGTTTCTTTTTCATCAATCTTCTTACGTTGACCAACGGGCGCGATGCCTTTTTTGAATAAAGTATTTCCATATGCTGAAACGAAATTTTAACTGAGATTCTTTTCTCCGTACATGCGATATGCTCCTAGCATGATAACCAGGTTAGCTGGAAGCACGTAGTTTGCGCTCCTACAAAATCAACACTAACGGTTTGCAGAATATTAGCCGGAAATCACAGCCGTGCAGACCTTATATATCATGTTGTACACCATGATAGTAACATGTAGAGCGTTGAGATGGTTCGAAAGTAAAGTCTTCAACGCAGTAAGAGATCGCTTATCGTCATGACAAGAGGAAGAGCGATCTCAAGAACACTGTGGGAAGAAATCAAATCCAAGATACCCATTTCCCATTTCAACAGATTGGAATTGTCCGGAGAAGAATATTTGAGAACAAATTCATGATCGAACTATGCAGCACAATGCTACAAAAGTGATAAGGGCCGAACGTGGTTGACAGGCTGGCAAATTATGCAACAGCTACCCGACAAATAGCATTAGAACCCTTCCTTGCTAAAAGGACAATATACCATCAGGGAAGAATTGGCAACTGAGCAAGCTGACTACAGCAAGCCGAAAAACCATAAGCAGTTACGACTTCGACAGATTTATTAATTCAATCGCTCTTCCTTAAGGCTAATAATAACTACTACAAATCTTTAAGAAGAGTTCTAGACCACAAAGCTTTAAGGAGAGTTCTAGTTGAGGTTACACCATTCACATAAAACAATTATACATACATAACAAATTACACATAGAACAAATATTTTTTTTTTTTAGCGTATAATAATAAATATCTTACTCATAAGTCTCTTTTTTCAATCGTTTTCAGACGATTCTGTCTAGTGGAAGGCGATTGCTGCTGCCGACCGGTTAACATATAAGCTATTCGCTGCACTGACAAACTCATTGCTGGTACTTAGAATGGAACTACAACAACAAATTACGCAAATATACACTGAGAGTAAATTGTCTGTGAAAAAAATACGTCGACGCGTAAAGCTCAAACGTAAACACGCTTGCGCAAAATTACATTAATTAAAAAAAATTATTCATATATTGCAAAAGGATAAACAAAAACAAGAAAAAAACGAAAGCAAGGTAACAGCTACAAACGACAGCAATCAACAAAAAGAAAGTCGCTTGAGTTGTGGGACGTTTGAGCTGAAAGCAGTGTTGAGACGTAAATGTGCGTAGGCGTAAGCGTGAAAAAATATCGTATTTTAAATTAAAATTTATTTTTATTATTATATAACTTTACTTTACCTTAACAAAACGACAAACGGCAAGAAAAGCAAGAATATAATATATCTCTACATAAATAAAGAGTAAGCAGCAACTTTGTGAGATGCAGACATAGTATACATGAAACACACCTACATAAATACTGACCGGCATACTTAACTAAAAAATAAATGAATGCAAACAGACAATGTAAAAAGTGACTAAATTTTCGAAAATAATAAAATTAAATACTTAAAATGCGAAGCTTGTATAAATTTCTAGATTAAAATATGCGAAAAGACAATTTTTTTTTTTAAACTTAACCTCAAAATTGAAAACATTTATATGTGCTAAATATTTCGAAAGCCATTGTCTTAAAATGCCAAGGTTCAGCATTATTTAGCTGAATTCATGTAATTATTTTTACGTTCTTGGCTCTGTTAAACAATTAGTATGTCAGTAGTGGTAGTAGTATTGTAAACCCAAAAAATTTGTTATGTTTCTTTAACAAATTGTGCAAAAGTGGCGATGACGATTTTAATAATGGCAAAAACCGCTTTGCCAAGGCAGCAGGAACATTCCACTATATGTTTGCTGAAAGTGCAATAAAACCAGAAGTATGCAATCATTATTTATTTGGAAGAGCCGGTATGATTAAAGTAATTATCCGATAAAAAAAATATGTAGGTATGCTTATGAAAGTAAAACTGAAGAGAAGAGAAAGAAAGCGATATAAAAGTAATTAAATATAATCCACGGCTGCATAATAACTAACATAAGTAATAGAAATTTCTTGAAATGCTAACTTTTTTCGAGCAACCATCATTACCTTTGTCTGCGCTTTAAACATCAATATCTTTACTAAGTTTGCTTAGCGTTACTAATGTATGTTTGGTTTCTTTTGCATAGTAAGTTTGTAGTTCTAACACTTTGGTGCAATTCTAATGTATCATTTGTATTCTTAATTTTGAGTTGTCAACTGTTCTGTTGCCATTTCAGTACATTTGTGATTTCCTTTTCTAAATGATCTACTTATATAAGATATGCGTATACACATACATACTTACTTACTTATATGCATAGTGTATTAATTACATTTTCCTTATAAAATCAGTAATTGCCAATTCTTTAATCATACATCTTAGACATACATACATACATATATTTACCTGTAGGATGCGGTATATTGCCGTTCTATTAAATATGTATGTGATAATTTTATATCTCTCCACGCGTAATTATAACTTTGTAATATTGTGTTTGTCCTTGTGTACTTTTGATTTTTTGTTTAATATATGCATATATTGTAGTTAAGTCGATTTAAGTGTAAGTCAAACTTAAAGTATAAAATTAAAAAATGTGTAACACGTCTTGAAACAATCTTAATAATGCAAGTAAATGCGTGTCATTGTCAAGTATTCAAAAATAATAAAAAAAAACGTATGATTATAATTCATACATAAATATGGAAACATAAATATGTTTTTATTTAAATGTCGGTTAAGCCGATGGAAACCTTTAAAAAATAATCTATAACAAATTGCGCAATAGAAATACATAAAGCGAGCCACAAAAGCCTACGCGCAGAGAATTTTTACGATGTATGCAAAGCTTTTATTTATTTTTTAAAATAAAACTCAAAAAAATTTAAAAAATTTGCAAAAAAATTTTTAAGTCTAATCAGATTTTTTTTTTTTTAACTTTGATAGTTTAGTAGCCGACTAAAATGTAATAGGCTACAAAATGTGTATATGAAGATTATATGAAATGCGCACAATCAAAATTTTTGTGAAAAATCTGATTACAAACTTGAAAAAGGGTATGAAAATTTACTAAATTTTCCATGAAATTTTTGCAAGAAGTTTAGATTTTTTTTTTGTAGTACAAAAAATTTATTTATAAAAAAATTCGAAAACACAGACTTTTGTGGTTCGCTGTATATTTCTAATTATACTCAAACCGCTTTTGGTTTATTTTAAACTATGGCTTGAGTTTCAGGCAAAAATCTGGGATCGTTCGAATCGTCTAGGCTGCTTTTCATTATCAGCCATATTATGGTTGGCCCGAATTCGTGTATTCGTGACCTTATGCAAATGAAATAACTAAAATGGCAAAAAAAAATTGTCTATCATTAAACCAATTATAAGTGGAAACCGGCTTAATGATTTTTATTTTTAACGGAATGGCAGCGCTTTTTTAATGCCCAAATTTGTCAATAAATGTACTATTCGAAACTCTAGCTGCAAACCCTAAGTACTGATATAACCGCACGTTCTCTCCAAACCGACTGCCGTTTGACGAAGTTGTATTGAAGTATGTTCCAAAGGTAAGTTTTTCTCCCAATCTATCAGACAGCGTGACCATCTTGAGACCCAGCTGCTTTCATCAAAGATTTTAAATTTCGATTACTAAATTCTTTGGTTGTTAGAAACTGAATTCGGAGTTCAGAGGAGTCCAATTACACATTAGGGGTATTCTCTGAGTCTTGCAAAGCCCTTGCATGGTGCACAGATTGCACGGATTGCACGGTTAAAACCGGTTTGCGTATGGGACAGCTTTGCAAACCGTGCAATCCCTGCACCGTGCAAGGGCTTTGCAAGACTCAAAGAATACCCCTATTGAAATCGAAAAGAATGAAGCAGAAATGCGCCGGTGCCGGTTTTGCAAACCAAAAAAAATACTTAGAATGGTAATTTGTCAAGATTCGGTGTTTTATGCGTATTTGCCTAGTAAACACTTGTTTTTCAACTTTGGCACTATTTTGTAAAGACGTCAGAAAAATACTGAGTTGATTTAAAAACGTCGTTTAATAACTAGTAAAATGAATTTATATTTTCAAGAACCAGTGTTTTGCTTATTTATTTATAAATGGGCAAAGAAATTAATTTGTTATACATTTGGGTGTCCTTATTCTTTTGGCAACTATGCAAAAAAAAATTAAAATTAACGATATTTTTAAACCTACATGAATTACAATTTACGTGAAGGCGTGTGTGCAGAAATTCATCAAGCTAAAGCCTCTTATTTTTAATCTATAATTGTTGAAAATACATACCTAATCTACGCGACTACGTTCGCATTTATTTAACCACATATTGGACATTTCCATTATGTTTTAGAAATAAAAGAGCATGATGTTTTGGCTTGATGCATTTCTGAACACACCAAATATATACATGCAGTAGGAAATTAGTTTTTGCCGCTAAGTAAGACATCGATGGTCCTCTGCAATAACGGCACATTCCAAAGTTCAGAAAATTTAAACTCCTACTGTTAAGTGTCTCATATCCTTAATTTTTGTCTAATCCATGTCGAATCATTACTACTTACTTAAGGGATCCTTACCCCTTACTTTATTAAGGACAAGACGTAGATTGTACAAGGATAAGATATTAATTTTTGAATTTTGGATTGCGTCGTTATTGCAGAGGATCATCGATATGTATGTATGTATTATATTTAAATTTTCAATCAACGCTTAGCGCCATCTCTCCGCAATCTTTCTTTCCATTATGTCAATTAACCGCTGGCGCTCCATGATAAAGTCCCATCATTGCCTCTTGCAAGGCACGCTGACAAGCCATATGTGCCCGATAACCGCCAGCGCGCTCAGCGCTATTTTCAGGCCGTATGTGTGTAATGAAACCTTTTGCCTCAACATCAGCGCCGCTGGGCGGAGATGGCCCTTCCATGTACAATGTCGGCATTTTGTGCACATAGAGTGGTCCCTCCTCCGTCTTTGGCAATGGCAGGAACATTTGATCGGTAGAACGTCCGAATTTGATGCCCGTCGAGAATTCTGTTGTTGGTTTGGGCGGTGGTACCTTCTTTTCTTCTTCGCGCAGTTTTTCCACTTTCTCAGCAAATTCATTTACAATTTCTGATGCATCTTTACCACTGCACATCAGTTCGTCGATGAGCGCCTCCTTCTCGCGTGCTTTCTTTTTCTTTTGCTCTGTTTCTAATTCGGCTAATTCCTGACGACGCGCCTCCTCTTGTGCTAGCTCCAGCTCGAGCATCTCCTCCAGTTCGTACTCCTCACGTCCCATGCGTGTCTTGTTACGTTGTATGATATCACGATTTTCACGTCGATATGCTTCGATCCGTTTATTTGTGCCAAGAATGTCGATGTTATTGCAGAGATTGTAGATTATAGTTTCAATTTCTTCCAAGTAGTCATTGTACTCTTGCAATGTTGCGAAATCGTCTTCCTTTTTATTGTAATCGCGTAACACACGTTTCCTTATATCCACTTCCTTTTCAACCATGGGATCTTCGAAGAGTTGTACTCGAAAATTGTTACGCCGTAACGGCACCATACACTCGGGGCATGATCCGGATCCTTTCAGAAAAAGTAGATCAACGCAAGATTCGCAGAGCGTGTGACCACAAACGTTGACCATCAGCTTCAGCGATGGGTTGCGGTATTTGGTTGTTTTGCAACGCGGACATGCCTGGTCCTCCATGCTGACAAGAGCACTTTTTGTTTAATACAGCAAAATTTGTAAGCTTTCAAGAACCTGCAAAACATAAAATGTTATTTCGGCGAATGCGGCGTTTTCCCAAATCGAGTGCACAAAACAACCGCCAGCAGACAGCTGTTTTTGACGTTAGTTCATTAGAAATTCATGCCACCCTGTGTATGCATTTATCGATAGCAAACTAGAGGGTGTATGCAAGTAATTTGTTTTAGAAAACTATTAAAAATTCTTCTGTAATGATAGGATATAATTTGAAATGTACTCTTCTGAGAAAGTTATATTCGTAATAGGAACGCAGTCGACACTACTCTCGAAACTACTCTCGAGTTTTCGAAAACAAATTAAGCTCTACCCACAATTGCAGCGGACGACGGCAAACAAATTCTGTTAAAAGATGTTGTCTTTTTATTCTAAAAACAAAATTTTATGTTCGGATTCGATGCTCTAGAAATGTGACGATTTTTGTCCACATAAATCTTGTTACCGTAATCATAATGTCCATACACACATATAAATGTATGTATATAAAAGATCCAAGACATTTTTGCTCAGTGTTTGATGAGCCAAATATAATGCCAATAGTTTCGCTGAAAGTTATTTGGACCTTCAATGTCTACTACTCATACAAACCCCATTCCGCAGCTGATGCTGATGAAAATAAAATTGAACCAAATAAATTATTCACATTTTCTCGTGTACTCTTTATTTTAAAGTTCAATTTTAATATATGTGTGTGTGTGTGTGTGTGTATATACATATATAATTTGTTTTAAATACATTTACAATTTCTAAATAAGTATTACTGTAAACAAGATTGATCAAACAAATACTTAGCAAATCAATCAATCCATCAATCAGCATTAATATTGTATTTTTCGCATACAATAATGATCATTTTAAATTAATTATATATACGTACATACATACATATGTACATATATCGAGCCCTCAACGCAAAAACACGTAGGCGACATTTTCTTTTTAGAATTTTTATTTTTTTTTCATGCAGAACCGTTCCTAACGCTTATGAATGCATTTCTGCGGCAAAAAAAAAAAATCGAAAAAATATCGTTTACATTTTTTTGCGGTTAGCGCTCGATATGCTTTTTATTTTTCATATTATAAATTTATATCGATTATAATCGTACAATAGTCTAAATACAAATTCAGCATTCAATTCAAACGGCGCGCCGCCATACAAGTTGCCCAACAGGCATACATACAGACATTGCAATTAATCATATGCATACGCACATACATATACCGACCGTTGAGGTAAATACTTTTGTATTATACCAATTACACAATTTTTTTTCTGCTACGCTATTTGCATTACGAATTGATTACGCATTAGTTAACTACATACAAACATACGTTTTTCCAATAGATACATTTAGAAATTGTATTTAGTGCTAGTAATAATAATTATAATAATAATAATAATAATAGTGTCGTTTTTATTTTGTAGATATATAACTGATTGTGTACAGACGTATGTACGTATACTTGTATATGGGCGTGGCTAGCTACAATTTGATTTAAATAAACTAAATGCTAGGCTAATTATGCTAAGTGTATACGTACGTATTTATATAACTTTTGAATTTCAAGTGAAATATTTAGACGCTTCTTTCAATTTATGCCGTGTTTTTTTTTTTTGTTTGGTTGCGCGACTATATTTGATATTTTTCTTCTAAGTTTAATGTTGTTATATATGTATGTATACGAGTACTATAGTTTTTTATTTAGTTCAGCACATAAAATAAAACAAAAAACAAAAATTTTTTAGTAAGTTTTTAGCAGAGACATTTTAATACTTTACAGTTAACAGTTAGAGAAATAGAACTGATTAATTTAATTTACTTTCGTTTTTATTTTTAGATAGCTTTATGCCTCGACATAGATACATTTTAAAAATGTATGTATGTAATTAGTATATACAGTAGTAAAAAAGCAGACATTTTACTAAGTAACAAGATATTAAAAAAAAAAAATAAATAAAAAACAATTTCTAAATTCAAGTAATGCTTCAGCAATCTACGTTAAATACGAGTATACAATAAATAAATACTTAATTCCACTAACAATCGTGACGAAAAACATTGATGCTTCCTATACAGTTGTGTAATAAGTATTCAAAATGCTTTTAGTAAAAGTAGAACTTTGCGAATTTCCAACAAACACCAGCAGATACTTCAGTATAAATGTACACTAGGGCGGTCCAAACATACACCAGAAAATCAGCTTTTTGGAATTTTCCTGCTCCCACCCGCCATGAAGAATAACAAAAATAAGGAGACCCGAAATATTTTTTTTTTAATCGGTTAATATTTAACTGTGCCGTGCGGGTAAAATACATTTTTTCTATAATTGCTATAAAATCCATGAAAATAAATATTTTTAATCAAGTAGGAATATTTCCATACAGAACGTTATAGTTAAAATTATGATGAATAATTTAAGTTTAAAATTTTACTATTTTTTCATAAAATTTGCGATTTGATTACACATAAAATAACATATTTTTGTACCTATATAAAAAATAAGATTATCGGTTTTGAAAAAGTAGTTAGTAAAATTTTAAAGTTCAATATGCCTCATTATGTTTTGAAAATCTCTGCAGGAAAAATTTTAAATGTAAAATACAGCGACTCGAACAAGTGTTCACGTGTTGATTTTTTTTTAATATTCACAATATTTTTAAAGTTAACAATTTTTTTGGTTATTTTTCTATAAAAATATTGTATAAGCTTTAGCCAAAACCCAGTTTCAAACTACCTATAAAATTTAGCAAAAATTCAACAAAATTTCATCAAAAGTTTCAAACTTGCTACAAAATTTAGCAAAAATTTAACAAATTTTCATCAAAATTCCGAGCCTATTAATTTGAATCTTTACAACATTTTTGGGAACCGTTGCTTAACCGTTATTTTTTGATTTTAATTTTATGGATCAATAATTATTGTTATATTTGGATTTTTATTCTTTTCGGTGAAATTTAATTGTTAGTTTGTGATTTTTATTTTTTTCTATAAACAATAATCGTTATTTTGGATTTTTTCTTCAATAAACTTTAAACGTTATAAAGGATACTGCCTTTTTTTGGCCGATTTAAGTCTTTTGTGATGTAAAAAATTCAATCTGAAAATAACGGATATAACGAGGCCTAACCGCCAAAAATATGTAGGTGAATTTTTTTTCAAAATTGTATTTTTGATGCAGAAATGTTCCTAGAAAGAAATTTTGCTTTTTGGCTAGATAATATGATCCAAAAAATTGAAATTAAAAATTTATCGGAAAAATAAAAGTACAAAATAAGCATTACTCTGGATTGAAAATATTTTAAAATCATACTTAAATTTAATAGCGAAAATGGAATTCCAAATTTAAGGGTTAAGTTATGATTTTTATTACAAAGATCATACCAGTTGAGGTCTTTGATTTCAGGTATTTGTTTTTTTTTTTTTTTTGAATTTTCGCTGTTCAAAATAATAACATTTTTTCAAACCCTGCTAACTTGTTTAAAATTTTGAAACTTTCTTGAATATTTCTAGTTTGTACGTAGAACAAAATAAAGGGCTCCCATACAAAATTATGATACTGATATTTTTAAGGACCACCGTAAAGCACATGTTTACATATGTAATTGGTACATACAAAGTGCTTTAGCAATTAGCAAAGTTCTATTTGAAGACAAAAATTCTCTCAAGCCGGGGTTGTACTAAGCGTTTTTTTGTTTTGCTTCTGAGCTAGCTTTTATCAGCTTTTGTGAGCTTATTTCCATTTTCGTTTGTGTTCGTTTTATTTATGTACATATATTTTACAAGTGTTTGCCCATTTTCTCATTTACTAAGCAAATAATTCTACCATGTTTTGTTTTCTTAATTTTTTTTTTGCTTTTGAGTAATCGATTTCTAAGAAATACGTAACGAAACAAAAAAAAATATTTATTACAAATCGAATCACTGTAAATATCACAATTTAGTTAACGCATAATGCATACCCAACTTACTATACATACGCATATATACATTTACATAAAAGATTTTACTTTTACATTCATATACATACATACAAACGTACTTGGTTATTTATAGCTTTAATGCTTCTTCTGTGTTTTTTGTTTGTTTATTTCAGCTGTTTTTAACTATGTCATTTAGACGTTATTAACGGGTATTTGAGTGAATATGCAAAACAATTTCGTTTATGAACTTCTTAAATGGGTATAAGTACAACAACTTCACCACAAAACCTTGAATCAAGCAACAGTAAACTATCGACATACATATCTATGTATTAACATGCCAATTGTAAAAAATAATGGATAATTAATATCTTATACTTCGCTTACAATACTCTGCATTTATTAGCATAACTCCATCGTCTCATTTGCCTAAATAATTATGAGTACATTAATCGAAAAACAAAAGTCTTTCGCTACGACTTAAACAATTTTAGTTAAATTTGCTTTATACACTTATGTACATTAGGGTGCATCACCAAAAAAGTTGTGGTTTTTCCAGCGGAATTATAAAACTTAGTATATTTTAAGATAACCGCTTAAATCTGTCGAAAAAATATTACGATTTACATGATCTAGATTGCTTAGTTGGAAACCATTTTTCGTGAATTTTAACGAGAGTTACTTATCCGGATTTCAAACGGTTTTCATCTTTCAAGTATACCCAAACAAAAATTTAATTTCAGTTACAATTTTAAGTTCTCCCTAACCGCCAAGAAAACGAAAATTTTTTCAAACTATTTTTTTTTTTGATATAGAAATGCTTCTAAGTCATCGGTTACGTTGTTTTTTTTTGCGGTTATGGATCTATATCTTCTATATTACTAATAACTCTGTGCAAAAATATCTCGATGGAAGTTCATAAAAAATATCAAATTTTATGATTCGCTTGTAGGAAAAATTATTTTTCGACTTATGTTTGTATGCATGTACATACATATATTAGGGTGCATCACTCTTCGTACAAAAAAAAAAAAAACTAAATAATAAAAATCGGTACAGTTTTCCTATCGGAAGTATAAAATTCAATATACGTATACATATTAATGACCTTTTTCATAAAAAATAAAATATATTTAAAGAAATTTATAAAGTGACATTTTTATACAAACTTTCTAATTATAAAGCAGTAAATGTCTTCTTTATTTTTCATTAGTTTGGGTGTAAGACTTTCGAAAAAATATTGATATCTATGTAGGGCCGATTTAAAAATGGCACCAAAAATTTAATTATTTTGATTCCGTTGGAAAAATTTTTAAATATGACGCACCCTAATGTATATACATATGTGTGTTACCTATGAAAGTATATACATATGCATCATATATATGTATATATGATTTATAAATCAAAATCAATCAGTACGAATTTAATTACACGCCAAACAATATTCTGAATCACAATTCCTTTTGCTAGTTTCCCGTAGTTTTCTGCTAAACAATTATACATACTTGACGCGTACATATGTATTTCAATGAGTATTTTGGAAAAAAATGTCTCGTTAATAATTAAATCAGCATTCTAAGCTTGAACTTTGCCTCGCTGTTTTAAAATTAAAGATTTTAAATAAGTGAAATATTTAATGCCGATAACTTTTGCTGTACTTTGCTCATTTGTTTACATTTCATTAGTTATTTATAAATACATTTACATACATACATTTGTGGTAGTGTTATATTCCAGATTATATTTTTTATAGTCAAATAAATAGGTAAAAGTATACGCTCTTTACTTTATATTTTTCGCATCAATACACTTTTCTGTATTTTTGTTCGTTTTCTTTTAAAAATGCTTCAAATTTGTTGTCCAAATTCTGGTGTACGTTTCGTTGGCGCCTTCTAAAGACTGAAAAAAGTAAAGAAATGGAATTATTAAATAATGGAATTATGAAATAAATTTAAAATAATGTTATATGAAAAAAATTAAATTCAATTCAGACCATGATGTTGAAAGAGTTTTAAAATATAATAAATCTTTTTTTATTTTCACTCCTTTCAAAGCTACTGACACCAAACAGCTGCTCATAATGCTGACTACACACGGGGCAACCGTTGAAGCGACATTATGAGGAAAGCTGAGACAACTTTTCAGCTCACTTTTTTCAACGAACCAAGCCAATAAAATGGCCAAATTAGGCCATTAACCGCTTACTACTAGTAAACTATAGTAAACTTATTCGCATAAAGAAACCCACTCGGTAAGACTTGAAGTTTACGCCTGTCATACGACCTATAATACTTTATGGTAAATAAGAAGTTGAATGCCAGACAATTTGGCGGTGTTCAGAGACAAACCGGTTTATGTATGTGCATATAGCCAATATACTTAGAAGTCAAGAACAGGAGTACAGGGGTCGGTCTACATCTTTCCACCAAGAGACGAACTCTGTACTTATGGCGGGTGAAGCTCTATTGGGTGCGAGGTTATAAAGAAATAGGTGCGAAGGAAAATTGGTGCAATCATATCGGACAGCGTGGCGTTCAAACACATTTTTTTACACAGATGGCCTAGCCGGCACAAATAAGGAAAATCTATTTATATATGTACATATGTATATTAGAGTGGTCCAAAAACAGTAAAGTCGGAATTTTAATGACGCCACCCACTAGGATTGTTCTATACCGAAAAATATACCCCTATTTAGAGGTCGCTCAAAGCGCTCAAAGTTTTCCATGTATTTTATATGGGGGAAAACAACTTGTCGTAGAAATGGTATAAAATTCTTGAAATTAAAATTTTTCTATCGGAAAACTGTGGTTCTTCGGCAGACTTTCAATAATAATATCCAATCGTTTATTTAACCATTTTTTAATACTACTTTATTGGTCCCGCCATTGCATTTTCTGGGGTTTTGGCGGACCAATAAAATATAGTTGCCATGAAAAAATGGCTAAAGAAACAACTGGGTATTATTATTGGGAATTTCCTGAAGAGAAAAAGAGTTTTCCGATCGAAAAATATATATTTCGAGAATTCTGCACTATTTCTTCGAAACGTTTTTTTTTACCCATATAAAATACATAAAAAAGTGTGAGCGCTTTGAGCACTCCCTATTTTTTTTTAAATAAAAGAATATTTTGAAAAATATATGGGTATAGGTCGGTATAGAACAATCCTAGGGGGTGGCAGCATTAACTTCCGACTTTACTTTTTCACATGCATTTCTGGACCACTCTGATGTACCTATCCTATATCCATTTTTAGGCTCTAAATCGAATTACCTTTTGTAAAGAGAGTAAGTATCTCTCTACTGCTGCAAGAGCGAGGGGAAATTTATAAGAGTTATGACCTCTCTACTTAGGATATATCCTCGCTACATAAAACCGTAATGAAGCCTATAATGTGTTGCGAAGAGATCTGGGTCGCATGCTGCGAAGAAAGCTGGGTCGCATGCGCATGCACATAAAAGGGCAGTCGGTAACCTCGATAACGATGTGTAACGGGAAGATAAATTTAACAGACATTCAAGAAAACGGTCCTTGCGTGCTGCTTAACATACACCCCTCCGACATCGTAGGTAAGGCTGCTGCAGTAAGGGATGCATTCAAACTTAACGGCCCTGGGCACAACTGCCTTAACGTTTGGACATTCTTGGGGGCTTTGGCTTTATGCCGTATACATAACTTCGATGACCGCGTGTGTAGACTGTCTAATTGAGAACTTTCTCCGCGAAAATCTCCTCCAGGGACGAGTGGACGGAAAGCAGAGGTGGGGTTCGCAGAAGACACTGTGAACTTATATATGTATGGGAGGTGGAGGGATGTCTTGTAGGGAGCTCTTCATCAACCTCAAATTTCGGCCTCTAAATCGTTGTAGTGTTTTCCAAACAGAGATAGATGGTCTTAAGGAAGCAGTCGATTAGCTGTTCAATTGTTGAGCATTCGAATGGGAGGTAAACACTTACTTTGCTACTCAAGCGAAAATTATGGCTTTGGACTCGCTTACAGTGCACTCAAAGCAAGTAAAGGAATTTTTATGATTTTAAAACATCAACATTTACGAAAAATTAATCTGCTGGATTAATAAGATCTGTGTTTACAGTCCGATTTTGATGAAATTAAAAATCTGTTTTGCCGGTTTGATGAGCTATACTTAAAAATGGATTCACTATATGGCGCTAGAGCCGAGCTACTAGAAAATCATTAAATATGGCCCATTTTTTATGATAGTAAAACGGTATGCTGTAGGTGTGATTAGAAATACTCGCTAGATGGTGCTGGTGTCGCGGTTTCCAGAAAGTCTATATTTATGGTTCGATTACAGCTATTTTTGATAGATATCTCATTGAACATTATTTAGAAAGACCGCAACTATCTTTGGAGTCCGCCTTCATATTAACTGCTAGTTTTTTTTTCCGGTTGGCGTGTATCAAATCAATAAAAAATTTTATACCGATTTCGTAGTTTTTGTAATTTAACTTTTTGATGGCAATTCTGTAATTTAAAATGACCTTTTTATTTCCTTATCCTGGCCTACATATATCCCAACTCAAAGCAAATGGTATATTATTACCCTTACCTCTGTAACGCTGTCGCTTCGTCCAATTCGGCATCGCCTTCATCGATTCTTGCACCGCTACAACTGCGGCATTTACAACATATAATACAGGGTGCTGCCAATAGCAGTAGCGGTGAGGCAACCAACAACAATATACCGAAACCGGCAAAAATACCAATCACTTGCGCTCTATGCCACACCACCGAGGCACGGGAATGTCCAAGTTTGTTCTTGCATGGCCCACGATCGTAGTGACGCAACAGAAAGTCGTCCTGCAAGATAACAACAATATAGAGTAATAAACATTAAGCACACTACGCACATAACACTCTAGCTTCTATGTAGATACTTAATAGCGCTTATTTCACAATCAACTTGGGTAATTTTGAAAATGTGGAAAATTTGGCAAAATGTGCGCACAAAATTGCTTGTGTAAATATTTAATTTTTGTACGCCGCATACTTACATCCAAACTGGCCAAACAGTACCAGCAGAAGACGTGCTTGCAACGTTTGCACATCATCTGCGCACAACCCTCATCCTTTTCGATGGGCACAGCACACATGGGACAGCACTTGATGAGGTCATTGTCGAAGGGTATACCAATGTCATCCTGACCGTCCGCCACCAAACGACGACTATTCTCCTCACAAGTCAGATTTGGATGCCACTGCAGTGGTAAAAAGTAAAAGTAACAAATTATAAGTGAACCAAAAGGGACAGACAGAAATTAGCAAGAAATTCACGAAAATAAAGAGCTGTGTGTGTACTAACCGCTTTCTTGCAGGACGAGCAGAATTCATCCTTACACGACGGACACTGAACGGCGCAGAGTGGCTGTGCGTGCGTGCCATGCGTGTCAGTGAAAGCAGCGCCCGGAGGGCCGCCACCACCACCACCAGCACCTGTCGAGGTCGATGGTGTGGCATCGGAATGTGGACCAACGCCGACGTGACAAACGGTTTCGCAGCCAGCGCGCGGACACCAGGTGCGCGTCTTGTCCATTTCGATTTCTGGTGAGCGTACAAAAAGGTGTGCAAGGAAGATTATTATTATTATTATTATGTTTTTATTAATTTAATGGTGTGCTTGTTTTATAGGAATAATATGTATGAAAACAAAATATGTTAGCATACCTTTGTTGAGTCGATATCGATGGTGCTTCTTCATCAAGTTGGTCGTCGTTAGGTTGGCGATTTCGGGTAGTGTCATAATGCCTTGCGCCGGGCATTGGGCATCGGGACACGAGATCTCGTAGGCGCCTTCGGTTATTTCAAAATCCACATAGGCCTTCATGCACTGCAAAGGGGCAAAGAGAGAGAGAGAGAAAAAAAATGTGTGAGTGAGCGGCGCCAAATTAGTGTTTAGTCATAAAAGTATGTAGCAACAACACGAATAACATTAGTCCAAATTGAATTGCAAAGTGGCGCCTGCAATTATGCTCCAGTGATGGCCATTAAAAATTTAAAACTTTTTAGTTTGTATGGCAAGGGAAAACGACAACAACAACAAATCTGTGGACACAAACTAACAATCTAATTGCGGCGAAGCAAAGGATGCAGTTAGGAGATGTCTTATGCCTGCTGTACTATGCCACATACGATGCAAGTAATTTCACAACTTTTGCAAAGCGGAAAAAGTACAAAATTTTTTATAAAACTTGCGGCATAAAAAATCCAAAAACCGGATATTCCGGCTTCCGTTGGAAGAACTTCAGTTGCTAAGCTGCTGCGCTGCGCTTGTGGGGTTATATGTATGTGTGTACATATGTAGCAGCATAGCCTATTGCGAGCGGGAAAGAAAGGACTGGCACGTAAGTGGCGTGGGTAAGAAGCAGTTGGCTGTAGAATAACTTGGCCATCAGCAGTAATTGTAAAGCCCAACATTTTGCAAATGCAATTTTCGCCAACTGTTTACAATGTTAAAAACTCACTAAAACAACAACAAAGCTAACAAGTCAATTTGGAACCATACAGCATAGTGCAACATGGCAGCTGGTTAAAAATTAAATTTGGTTTCTATACAAGAAAAAAATTCGTTTTGGTGTTTATGCTATTTTAAATTTATCTTTTCTTACTAAAATTTGCGGATTTTTTAGGATTGTCCGGCATTTTCTTGCGACTGTTCGGATTATTTTGTTGGGGATTTTCATATTTTATTCGAAACTTTTCGGGATGTTTCCGAAAAAAATTTTTGAGATTTGTGAATTTTCGAAGAAATTTCTTTTCTCCGGATGGCTTCATGATTGTTTGGGACTTAAAGTATCTTTTCATTACTTTTCGCAATTTTTCAGCAATTTCAGGTTCAACAGTAGGTACAAGCATGGAAAACTTAACTTTTTCGTAGTAAATATTTCAAAAAATATATAGCACATTTTACTGATTACTTTCGGCATACAATAATATCGGTTTGGATTTGCATTTTAGCTTTTTCTTCAAAAATAGAAAGCAAGCTTTATCGAGTTTTTTTTTTTTGTCAAATCAAAATTGTTCACTTTTTATTATAGAACTATTAAACCCGCGTGGCGTTAAAACGCCAAACCGATGGCAGGAAAAAAGTTCAAACTGCAAAAGATAAACAGGAATAACGGCAGCACGGCTGATGATGTTTTATTTGTTACCAGGGAACGGATTTTTAGGACCTAAAAACCTATAAAAATGCAAAAAAAAGTAACGAAATAGGCTGGAAAAGGCAAAATAAAATAGCGAAAAAGGCAGGAAAAGGGGGAAAAAATGGTATTGCAAAAAAAGCAAAGTAAGGCACTAAAAAAAGACAGAAAATACGAAGAACAATCAAAAATGACATTTATTTTAGAAATGCTTATATTACAAGTAAAAAGAGAAAAACTATGAACTAGTTTCATTATATGAAAAATTTGTACTTTGAATCTTTGACTATTTAATCCTTTCGAGTTTCTAACTCATAAAACTTTAATCTGTATAGTTGTAGTAACATTGAACCACAAGATGCATTTTGAAGTTTTCTGGCAGCATTTTCATTCGATTTTCGCGAAGAAAAGCCTTGAATGTACTAAATGTGCGCTCGACGTAAGTTGATACAAGTGGAGCTCAATTTAAATATGGAACGTTTGAAACGTTCGTATTATCAGAAATAAGGGCGTTTTCCTCGCCCTTTACAATTTTATCCACACCCCTTATTGTCTTCAAGCCTACGTTAGCTGAGAAAACGGCTTTGAATTTTTTCAACACCAATTTGGCAAGAGGACCCTGTGCTTCTATAAGCCGCATGGGCATGTGTATATTTTTTAATCTTTAAAAAAAAATTGCAAATGCTATAATCACTTTTTTAAAGGTAGAAAAGGCAAAAAAAGGCAAATATCTTAAAAAAGGCAACCATGTTTTCAATTTTCGGCCACAAAAATCGTTTAGCATGTGTCTGTAGCGCTGACCGTTGATCGAAATGGTGTTTCCAGCAGTAATTTCCAAGAAAAATGGGCAAATATTGCCACCGCACCGAATTATCACTACCTGAGGATGCATTGGCTTCCCGACGATGACGTGCGGGTTTTCCGTTCCTCAGAAGCAGCAGTTTTTCGTGTTAACATAGACGCCGAGATGAAATAGCGCTTCATCAGAAAATACGATTTTTCGAGCAAATTCGTTGCGCACTTCATTTGCACGTTGTTCAAGCTGGAAAGAGCTGTAACTGTCAAAATAGTATGACTAAAAAAAAAAAAAACTATATGGACCACACAATATACTTATATACGAGTATATAAATGATGATTTTTTTTTTTTAGGCTCTGGGACTAAATACGTTGACTATTCAGTCAAGGGCTCACTAAGCCAGAGAAGGAAGGTTGCAGTATTACCAAATACACTAACAACCAATGAACCGTTGCTCATAAGCCTGTTAAATAAAATTTCAGTTCTTTTGTCGATTGCTGATTATAGGTCATGTAGCTGATCGAATCTTTGCCTGGACTCTCACAAATAGGTTCCCTTATAACATTTGTGCTCCCTATACTTTGTGTCTTTAATTAGGCCTCTGCAGTTTGAATGCATGCGCTGCTAGAAGAGTGTTCTTCTTATTGATAACAATAAACCAGCAGGTTTCCTATCCTATGATCTATACATAGTCCATGTAACCCATGTATGTATGCCCAGTGCACGTGTATACCACACAGTCTGTCTAGTGGTACATGATCAGATCGTACGATTGTTTGATTTGCCGTAAGTCCGTCTCAAGTAAGACGTCAAGATGACTAGCTCCTCAAGTCTTCCGACCTACCCTTCTGCTTTATCCGCTCCTCCAGATTAAGCGTCGCCGACATTTTTCTGTCCAGCATGATTTGAAAGTACTTTGTTTGCTTAGCTTTGGTTGTAAAGTAGTCTCCCATAATTCCGGGTATTCCAGACAGGAATCTTGTGTATCCGAGTGAATAGTACTAAGTCAGTCTCATCCCCGCATTATTATTATTATTTTTGGGGATAAAGTACTGCGACCTTAAGGTTTATTTCGAACCCTTAATGGATTTATAGTGTGTCTATTAAATCAGTTAATTTCGCAATACTCTCGGTTATTAAAAGTTAAAATAGGTGCATTTTCCGTTTGTGCATCAGTATAGGACACCTTTCCAAGATCTGCTTTGCAATTTCGATATCTATTCTGTAAAATCTGCATCGCTTCTGCGAACGAATTCCCAGATTAGTGAGGTGATAGTTTAGCCTGCAGTGTCTTATCAGATGTCTTGCAATAATTCTTAAGTTATTTTTGAACTAGTAAATTGTCCCAGCAGCGATTTCTTTGAGCTTCTTCCCTCATCCATGCCAGGGACGGGAGTGCCCCTTTTTCTATGCCACACAAGGGTTCTGGGCCGATGAAAGGGATGATGCCCCTTTTTTCGTAAATTTATCTGCAATATTCTTTCCTTTGAATACCAATATGTCCCGAAATCCAGGGAACCCAAGTTCCATTGTTCCGACCAGTTTAGATGTTACCTGATGAGATCTGAAAGCCTTAATAGCCGCTTGACTGCCAGTTACGATTGAAATGTTCTGATTAAAGTCCACGCATCTTTCTATAACGTACGTTTCAGCCTGCAAAATGGTCATATGCTTTCCCATAAGTTGCGAGTATATCAACCTCGGTCTAACTACACCTATCCCGGTATCAGTGAATGAGCAATCAGTGTACTAGATAATAGTAATGTTAGGATTTATCCGATATATCTCAGATATTCCGGCCCAGCTCTTCTTATTACTCGGTTCTGTCCGCATTAACTATGTATAAGTCCAATTTCCGTAACCCAGTGGTTAATAAGTCATTCATCATGCCCGCGTTGGTATATGGTGCACAAACATGGACAATGACAACATCCGATGAAGCGGCTCTTGGAGTCCAGCAGACGATGGAACGATGAGCTGTGTGAGTTTTACAACGACATGGGCAAAATACAGCGGCGCCGCTGGCGTGGCCATGTAGTTCGAATGGACTCCGACGTTCCAGCTCTGAAAGTATTCAACTCGGAACCCGCTAGTGGTAGCACAGGAATAGGGAGCCTCCACTGCGATGGAAAGACCAAGTGGAGAAGGACTCGGCTTCACTTGGCATTTCCAATTGGCGTCAGTTGGCACAGAAGAGAAACGACTGGCTTGCTTTGTTGAGGTCGGCCAAAATCGCTTAGGCGGTTATAACGCCAAATAAGAAGGAGAACACGAGGATGGCCTGCAGTATCTGGTTCGCCAGAGAGCTAAGGGTCCACCTTAGTTTTTAACAGTCAGTAGTTTATTATCCGCAAATTCTCTAATTATTCTGGTCATTTAAAATCAGTTGCCATGACGAAAACTTTTAATCAAACAATAGTAACACACACTTACAGAAAACCTCTCTAAAAATCGCAGAAATGTTTGAACTTAGCTCTGCCTCGACACTCCATCACTGTCAGGGGCAGGCGCCAGCAACAAAAGCAATAACAAGTACATTAAAAGTGTTTGCTCGACCAGATGTTAGAATGAGTCAGCAAATTTTTTAAAGTTCGCAAACAGCATGGCAGATAAAGTCAGAGGAACACAATATGAAAGCTGTGTTGCTGGTAGAGTTAGTGGCGGTCAGCCAAGTGTTTACTTTTGTCAGCAGTTGTTGCATTTAGTTTATTTTATTTTTATTGTGTTAAGTATTTACAGCTATTTTATTTAAGTTTCGCTGCAAAAGTTGCATTTTACTTAGGTGGAAGTTGAGCTTGAATTTTCGAGTGAGTTTTGTTGAGAAAAATCTCTCTATATTTGATTTCTTTAAAAAAATTGCATCTCAAGAAGATTTTTTGATCAAGTCATGTG